ATAATGCTCTGCAAGCAGTTCCTGATCGGGAGCCACAGAAGTGGCCACCCAAACAGACAGCTGCTTGCAGAGGAGCCCTCGCCTAGGCACGTCAGGAGGCATCTATATGAACTGACGGACGAAGTCCAGAGGTTCATTAAGCAACCTCTGGACCCGACAGCGTACAGACAGGCCCTGAACGGCATTCACAGGGACTCAGTCTCGAGTTATGTAGACTCTAGACTTGTGAATGCCGTTCTAGGCATACCACCCCCGGACATAGACGAGACAGAGCTTCATCTGCCTCGGGAGACACGCACTACACTCGCTAAACTTCGCTCCGGCTACTGCAGCAGGTTAAACTCCTACTTGAGTAGGTTGAATGAGGATGTGCCGAACGAATGTCCGGCATGCGGAGAGACCCCACATGACTCGAACCATCTCTTCGCATGCCCGGAAAACCCGACAACCCTAACGGCCTTGTCCCTGTGGACAGATCCCACAGAAGCTGCACGCTTCCTAGGGTTGCCGTTAGTAGAACTTGACGACAACGACTGAGATACCAACCTGGGCGGGGTTTTTGTAGCCGCTACAACAACAACAACAGCCAACTCATTGCCAACATGTTTGCTCAGTTCTTTACGTCCAATTATTCTGTAGACTTCCCTATAAGTGGAGACTATCCGTACGAGCTTTGTCCAATCAACTCTGCTTATATTCCAGTAATATCTTCCGATGAAGTTTTACACTATTTAAAAACCTTAAAAGCGTCATTTAGGCCTGGACCTGATCATATTCCGACCTGTTTTCTTAAAAACTGCGCTGAGAACATCTGCGAGCCTTTAACAACTCTATTCAATTTGTCACTTAAACATGGCGTTTTTCCGTCAGCCTGGTCGGAGTCTTTCATAATACCACTTCACAAAAACGGCAGCAGGTCTTCTATAGAAAACTATCGAGGCATAGCGAAACTCTCCGCTATCCCCAAATTATTCGAAGCAATTATTGTTAACCAGTTGACATATTGAATTTTCGTAATTCGTAATTCGTAGCTACGCAGAAATAACTAAACCGGACCCAAGTTCCTCGATAAGGGCAACAAAGATTATTTTTTGTTCGTTTATATAAAGCAGTGGATAAAAATATACGTATATACGAAAGACATATTTATCTGCTTAGAAGAAAACCACTAATATTTCCTGCAAACACACATCGATTTACATCTTTTATCTCGCCTCCGACACAGAATTGTTTTCGTACAAAATTACGCAAAAAGGCTTACAGCCTTATTATGTATCTCGAAGCGAACGTTCGTTTCGTCTGCCAGACGTTTCGTTCGTGCGTTGGTAGTATGTAAGTCGAAATCGTCTGGCAGCACGAAAACAGCTGATCGTTACGTAGTTGTTCGTCTAGTTTGGAATTTTTTAACGCGAATAGGAGACGAAAGTGAGACGACAATCGTTGAAAACAGACGAAAGGTTATTAGTGATCGTTAAGATGGAGGGTTCTGCCAGAAAAAGTAAGAAGATAAAAAAATATAACTTGATTTAAGAAAATATATTAATATTTATGCTTGCAGCGTTGAAAAAAACTACAACCACACAATTTGAGGTATTAGTTAAAGAAATGGAGAGAAATCCTGACCTGGCCAGAGGTGTTGCAGTGTTTGGTTCTGATCGAGGAAGGGTAGAGGAGCGGTGGGAGGAAATTATGAGGAAAATTAATTCTCATGGTCCACCTACAAGAACGGCCGTCGAATGGAAGAAAGTAAGCATATGTACATACATTGTATGTCGTAGATAAATGTTTTCACACTATTTCCATTTTACTGACATTGAATTCTATTTTTTTTTTCAAGATATGGGCTGACTTGAAAAGCCGGACAAAAAAAAAGATTGCCGAAAATACACGGAGCCTTACTGCTACCGGTGGTGGCCCATTCCGCCACTCTCCGCTTTCCGAAATGGAGCAGACCATAGACAGCCTTGTTTTTATTTCAAGGTCAGCGGCACCGAGCGGCAGAGTTTTCGGCATTCCTTCGACGGCGACTTCAAACGCATCCAGACATTCGTCGATTGAGGAAATGCCTCCTTTACTTGTGCCAGAATCGCCGACACTAGATGAACGAAGGCAACCAACAACCCTTCAGTCCCCTATAAGGCACAACCAACCACCACCAGTGGGAGTAGTGACTCCCACTACACAGACAACCCGCCCTACACCAACGCACACGTTACGTTCCACAAATAGGAAGCGCACCTTCCAAGAGACAGTGGCTGAATCTGCCAAAATCCAAGCCGAAGCCGCTAAAGTGCAGGCTGAGGCTGCAAAAAAAATGGCAGAGGCATCAATGCTGCAGGTGGAAGCCACAAATAAATTAACTGCTGCAGTGGAACGCCAATCTGCAATTTTTGAAAAATTTTTGGAATACTTCCACAACTAATTTGCATAGTGATTGTATTGAAGTGATATTTTGTTTTTTTTTTGTGTAAATATTTTTTAGATTTAAGTGTGAATTAATGTTTTGTTGCATTTTTTTAGTATTTATGTAGGTTTAAGACTGAAAAGATACTTTGTTTTTTTGTGTAAATATTTTTTAGATTTAAGTGTGAATTAATATTTTGTTGCATTTTTTTAGTATTTATGTAGATTTAAGATTTAAGACTGAAAAGATATATTTTTTTTTTTTTGTGTAAAATTTTTTTAAATTTAAGTGAATTAATATTTTGTTGCATTTTTTTAGTATTTATGTAGATTTAAGATTTAAGACTGAAAATATATTTTGTTGAATTTGTATGTAAATATTTTATTAGTTTTAAGACATAAATGAATTTTGCTAGTGTACCTGAAATCTAGACACACATACTTTATAATAAAACTGCGTTTATAACAAACTCTCTGCTATTCTCATTCTAATAAGGGCAGCTGTATTCGAAATGTTACTGTTTTCAAGTTCTTCTTCGTAACTAACAAGATTCTCCATATCTGGGATCTCCAATGGAATTTGATGTTTGAAAAATATACAAACGTTATGAATAGCACAGCACACATTTACAATTTGTGTTACTTTTTCCGGTGAATAATGTAGTCCTCTCGAGCCAATTATACATCGAAATCGGTTTTTCAAAACACCGAAACATCTCTCAATTACATTACGAGCTTTCGAGTGCTTTGTGTTGTAATTTCGTTGAATTCCATCGGCTGCGCTTCTGAATGGCGTCATCAAGTATGGCTGCAAGGGGTAACCAGAATCACCTACAAAAATTTTCATTGTCATCAATAGTTTTATAGCCTTTTTAAGTTTTAAAACTTACCAAGTAGCCATGTGTTGGTTTTCCCATTGTTATAATCAGATTTTAGCTCCTGCTCTGCGACACTCACATTCCAAACAAATGAGTCATGATTCGCCCCTGGATGCCTAGCGTCAACAAATGTAATGACCATGTTGTGATCGCATATCTGTAAGGAAACTCAGTTTGTGTATATGTATACTTGTAAAGATAGTATATCATTAACCTACCGCCATTACATTAACACTGTAAAAACCCTTGCGGTTGAGGTATAGATGGTGGTTGTCACTTCCTGGCGACTTAATACGAACGTGTGTTCCATCAACACAACCAATGACCCCAGGTATTCCGTATTTCTCAAAGAAATATTCTTTAACAGCATTTTCCTCATCGTTGTTTCTCCTAAAATTCACCCATTTCTGGCAAAAGTGGTCCTCAAAAATATTTAGGCACTCCTTAATCACTTTGGCTGCAGTTGACTGCCCCATCGACGAAATATTTTCGTTACCAACAGATTTTTGGTAACTGCCGGTGGCCAGAAATCTTAAAAAAGTCGCGAGTTTCAGCTGGTGCGATAGGTGGGTGCTTCTATGTGATGGAGCCATATGCTCTTGTAATTCATTTAAAATGTACTGGAATATTTCCTTATTGATTCGGAAATTTGCAACAAATCTAAAAAAGAATACATTGTAGCATACAAAAATTATTGGCTAATCTTGAACTTACTCAGTCTCAGGTAGTTCCATTACATTGGTGTGGTCTCGCAATCTCCTCCTCTGTATCCGCCTTTCCCTTTCTTCAGATTCCTCGGCGTCCATTAGCGCTATAGCAGCATACATTTTTTAAAATAGATTTTCCTTATATTCTTTCCGCAACACAACCAAAACACTTTTAAGCAAAACCAAAATGTAAACAATTCCGATGTTGCCCATTTAAAATAAAAAGCATTGAAATAAGCTGAAAATATTAGAAATCTAAGAAAAAATCTTTGAAAGTACATCAAAATTACATCCGGCAACATCATTCAACGTAACCGAGACGATAGCAACGTAATCGACGTAAAGGCAAGACGAAGACGAACGACAGAGTTACAAACTTGCAATCCGTGACGATATCGCCTACAGACGAATCGTTCGTGCGGCCTAACGTTCGAGATACAGAATAAGGCTGTTACTCTTCATTTTTAGGCATGCCATTGTTACGAATTTCGAAAATACAATTCGGATTGCAGCATACTATTTCTACGATTCGTAGCAAAATCCGAATACGAAAGAGTTGCAGAATAGGGGTGTATATCTTCTTCAATTACACAATCTCAAAACGGGTTTTCTAAAGGAAAATCTACTATGACTAATTTATTGGAGTTTACAGCTCATGTCTCAAACTGTTTTAGAGAAAATGCTCATACTGACGTAATATACACCGATTTCAGTAAAGCTTTTGACAAAGTATGTCACTCGTTACTCATCCGTAAACTCGACCTAATCGGCTTTCAGCCCAGTCTTCTTTAATGGATCTCCTCTTTCCTCTCTGATAGAACACAAAGAGTTATTGTTAATAATTGTTCTTCCAACATCATTAAAGTTTCTTCAGGAGTTCCTCAGGGAAGCCACCTTGGTCCGATTCTGTTCCTGATATTCATTAATGATATTTCTTCTATAATAAAACATTCAAAAATTTTAATGTATGCCGATGATGTGAAACTTTTTAAAACATTGTCCTCTATCGAAGAAAGGTCTTTGTTACAAGCGGATCTGAACAACGTGGTTAGTTGGTGTAATACAAACTATATGCCACTAAACCTTCAAAAATGTAAAGTTATGTGTTTCTCTCGGAGGGCTGTTCAACCAGCTGTTTATTCAATATCAAATTATAATCTGGAGCAGGTATCCAATTTTACCGATCTTGGCATTACAATGGATTCCAAACTCAATTTCAACCATCATATAAATGTTACAATCAATAAAGCCAAAGGCGTTTTTGCATTTGTAAGGCAAGGCGATGGTCTAAAGAGTTCAAAGATCCTTATGTTACAAAAGCTCTTTTTACCAGTTTAGTTAGACCTATACTAGAATACGGATCTATTGTTTGGAATCCCCGCTACCAAGTTCATTCAGAAAGGATTGAATCAATTCAAAAACAATTCTTGCTTTTTGCATTGCGTAATTTTAACTGGGATTTAGATTACAATCTCCCCCCTTACACAAGTCGTCTAAAGCTCATAAATTTGCCTACACTCGCAAGTCGTAAAGAAATGCTAGGTATAATATTTATCGTAAAATTAATGGCAGGCTTGATTAATAGCCCGGCCCTCCTTGCTGAGGTAAAATTTAATGTTCCCTCTCGAGTGTCAAGACCCTTTCAACCTCTATTTTTAAAGCCATGCAAAACTAATTTTGAACTAAGCGTATCATTCCGTGGTTTATGTCAAGATTTTAACTGTCATTCCAGCACGTTTGACGTATCGGACTCCATTTTTACCATAAAGAAAACTATTATTTCCACTCTCAATAATTGAAATACTATCTTTAGCATATCCATTCAGCTGATGAAATTGATGCTGTAGCTGAATACTTAACAAACTCCTGTTTCCACTACTCGGCACCAAAAAACTAAAAAAAAAAGGTTCCGTACGTCATGCGGACTGCGCCCCTCGTGTCTGTTGGGCGTGAATGGAGGGTAAAAAGCCGTTGGGATTAATTATATAATTAAATCGAAAAAGAAAATTAACCTAAGAATGGTAGCGTCTTGCGCTTATTTGCAAATAGTACCACTAATCAATACTTATTTGCGTGATTTAGTTATTTGCAAATAAAAAAATTAACTCAGCGTTTATACGGCAAAGTTTACCATTTTGCAAATTGTTATTTGCAAATAATGCGTGCGTATAAACGTAGTATGTGTTTGCTGGGTTGGTGTATTGAAAAGTGTGAGTGAATTGAAACTTGAAAGCAACCATGCAGTAAAATTTAGAATTACCGCCCTATTCCCACAACACTGACAAAATTCATCATATGACTATTGTCACAATTACTGCGCCTAAAACACAATATAAACATTGTTTCGCCGTTGTCACTTACTCAGTAGGTCATAACAATAAAACTGACAATTGTCATACAACAGCTTAAAATAAATTTGCGGCATAGTATTAGGCGCAGTAGTAAAGGCCGCTGAGTTTTGTCAGTGGTGTGGGAATAGTCTGGCAAAGTGCTAGTTCCGAACTACATCCAAGGTGTATTTAGCAAGGTGGTATTGGGGCGACAGCTGAATTTTTCGCCGTGGAGGGCATTACGTCAAATTGATGTGTTTGTTGTAACTCATACCAATGACAGTATGGATATTTGCGTATAATTTGTTAGTGTAATTTTTTGCTTATATGCGGCTAAAGGCTCCGTTATGCATACTTGGCATTGCTTGAGAGTTGTCACATAAGGAATCTGTTAAATGAGCTTCGCTTGTAAGCGGTTACCCAACGCACAGCATTACATACGTAAAAGTCTGTTGGTTTTTGATTTCTACGTAAAAATGGTATAGCAGTGCATGCAATGCCAAGTATGCATAACAGAGCCTTAACACTACCTTGTTAAATACGCCTTGACTACATCCCTGTAGGATCTTGAGATAGACTTAGAGCACACCACAAACTAGACTGCAGGTGATTGAAAGTAGTCCAAAGTTTGGTCCAGGTACGTGTAAAGTTTGATTTACATTTAACATTGAATGCCCTAGGCTCGGACCAATTGTCCGTTTCCGCATTACATTGTAACCAATTTTAGATAACAAAAATTAAAAATAAAATAAAACTTGTGCCAGCTGCGATCCGAACCGGGTTCCTCAGATTTTCTACCCTGATACTCTTACGCCAACGCCGCATATGGAAATTCGACGACTAAGTGCCTACATATCAGTAAAACATTAAATGTAGCCGTTGTCCGCTACCGCATAACATTGTAACCAATTTTAGATCAAAACTCATACCTTATGCATTACATTCGGGCCACTTTTAGTACGATTCACCTGCTTTACATTACTTTGCTTTGAATTTTTGGACTATCTTTCGTCTAGATACCAAACTACTATACCTGTGACAATATTTTTCGAGCAATCGGACCAATCTTTCAGAACTATCAGAACAGTTACAAATCGCGGTGTAAATGTAAAAATTCTGGAATCTGTAAAAGAAAAGAAAAAAACGGAAAACGTTTTCTTACAAAGACAGTCCAAAACGGAACCGGTTAAAAACTGGGCGACAATAGCCGCCGCCAATGACATCGCCGTGTTAAACTGGACAGTTGAAGGCATTGCTTGGGTATTGAGCTGCAACAAGTACTGTCGGCCAAAGGTCTAGTTCTACGCTAGTCAGATTTTCTGCAAGGAAGTTATTGATACGTATAACGTCACGGTAAGCGAGCCAGAGC